TAATTAGTGATTAGTATATATAGATGGATATGTAAAGGATATTGTAACTTTTCTTTCAATGATTAACAAAATCTGCCTAAAGGCTTCTCTAAAACGACATATGGTACCCAAAAGCTGACCATTAGTTGTTACATCATTTGTGTTGTGTTTGGATTGAATAAACGAACACTAACCCTAAAATTAACTTCCTAAATGTCGCCAGTGAAGTATGGCGTTGGTATACTTGACATACATGCAGAAAGACTAGTATGTGGAAGACATCTAACATGTTGATGTGGCTTGTTATATAGGCATGGAGGTAATGTGGTGTTTAACTAAAGTGTTGGACAGAGCCAAAGTGAGATACGAGACATTTATACTAGTATATGAAATTTTTTATCATGTGATTGCACAATATTCCAATATCAGTGTTTTATGGACAAAAAATAATCAAGTAGATCGGGGATTTTGTTAATTTGAATAGTAAACATATGGGATAGATGAAATAACTTATCATTAATAGAGGTCTAAAATAATAGATTAAAAAAAATAGGCAAAATACACATGTATAGCCAAAACTTTGACGGTTTGGTCAAACATAGCCACTTTTGGCGAAATACCAAAAATAGCCACTTCCGTCCAATTCTTTAACGGTGTTATGTTATATGCTGACTGGACAAACGATAACGGTTGAGGTGGCAACACTTAGTCAATTAACTTTCCACGGGGATTTAATTAAAAAACAAAAAGAAATATATAAATAATGAAAGGGGGTCAAGGAAAAGTTAAAAAAAATCCTATCTTCTCCATCGACTTCTGGGTTTATGTTTCTCTAAAATTAACAAAGCAAATGAAAGGGGGAAAGGAATTCCGGCTCCGTCCCCGGTTAACCTCTCCTTGTCCCAGAAGAGATTTCATTATTCAGAAGTGCATATGTGGTGGTGGTTTCCGATGATGCGTCCCCTGTAACGGAACTGGAGAATCAAATCCCTAATTCCCCAATTCCGCCGCTGTCTGCTTCCTCAATTTGCCTCGATTTTGTGCCCAGATTTTGGCTCGATTTTGTGCCCAGATCTCCCCATTTCAAGCTCGCAATGCTGCCATCAGACCGCTGTTTGTTTCCCTTCCGCTTCCTCGACGCCACTATGCAATCATCGAATCTGCCGTTGCGCCATCTTCACCATCTCTCTCATCTCTCTCTCCGTAACTCCTCCGTCGCGCGCTCTCTCATCTCTGGCCGCCTGAGAAAAGAAAAAGGAGAAGAAGGGATGGATCTGGCTGCCATTTTCCGTCGCGCGCTCTCTCCCTCCAGAATCGGCGATTCGAGCTCCCTCGACGCATCCACCTCTTTCGTTGGAGAGGTATAGCTTTGTTGGTGTATCCGATATCGACCCCGAGCATGACACGGCGCTGCCCAGAACAATAGAAGGCTTCCAATCGCTCACCGCTATTTGCTCGACGGCGGTGGTGCCATTCGTGATCGTTCCCCTGATTTCGTCCGCTAAATCGATCTTTGGTTCCTCATTGTCGACGACCTGTTGCAGAAGACGACGACGATGTTGTGAGAGGAGAAAGGACGGCGGCAACATCGAGTGGTGGAAGAGGAGAGAGGATGAGAACAATAATTATGATTTTTTATTTAATTTTAAATTAAAATATGACATTGCATCCATGTGGCAATTGTTGTTGAGTTGTCGATGATGTGTCTTGTGAGTTGGCAGCCATGTAAGCATTTTGTTAAGTTGACTAACGGTGTCACTGACGCCGTTAAAATATGTAACGGAAATGGCTATATTTGTCATGAAACTTTCAAAATTCTGGCTATATTTGGTATTTCGTCAAAAGTGGCTATTATTGTCACAAGCGTAAAAGTTTTGGCTATAGAGATGAATTTTGCCAAAAAAATACTAAATTACATGTTTGGTCACTTAATTAATTTATCATTTTTTCCTTTATGATAACTTGATTGGGTCAGTTGGCGGGTTGGGTTTTAGGTTGACTAGATGAGTTTCTCATTCAAATCAACACTTTTGCATGTCATGTCGAAAAAAATAATAGTGTTAACGGAGTCTAATAGAAATAGACGATAAATTAGAGTTTAAAGTGGGTAACTAACAAGAAGAAATTGATTTGTGCTTGAATTAATGGGATGAGGCCATATTGACATTATTATACACATTATTCAGTTTCCTTTAGAATGGAATTTTTTTATAAGTTATAACAAATGTGAAAAAATAAAAAAATTGATAAATTTGAATTGCAACGTATAATTTTGGGTTAAAGACACATTTGGTCACTGAGTTTACAAAATCAGGACATGTTTAGTCACTGGAAAAAGTTAATATCAAATTTGGTCACTACAATTACTAAAATAGGTCATATTGAGTCACTCTCCGTTAGTCTCCGTCCAACTCCGTTAGTGGAGTCCGTTAAGTGCTGACGTGGCTAACGGATGCGCCTAGTCAGCATCGTTTTGACCCAAACATCATCATACCCGACCCGCCACGTCAATTTCACCCGCCATGTCATACACCAACCCAACCATTAACCCAACCCGACCCAAAACCAAACTCTAACCCACCTAACAAAAAAAAAAGGAAAATCATCTGCTTAGTGGCCATTTTCAGACCAAAACCCTTCTCCTTCCTCGCAAACCTGCTCCTTCCTCTAGATTCAGCCATTTTCAATCGAACTCCAGGGAGAGATGAAGAGCTCCACGCTACCCCTTGCCCAAGATCCTCCTTCCATTTTGCATTTCTTCTTCTTCTTCTTCTTCTTCTTCTTCTTCTTCTTCTTCTTCGTCGCCGCGCGCCGTCAGTTTCCGCCATCGCAGTAGAAGGCGAAACCCTCAAATCCACCTTCGTCGTGCTCCGTCGTCGTCTTCCCCCAGGGCGCGCCGGAGTCAGCTTCCCCATCGCGCGTTCGAATTTCATCCTACGCCCCTCATTCTCCTCCCAACTACGTCGGAAAAAAACCATAGGCCTCAATCGACAACGGAGGAGTTCGAAGCTCTTTCGCCGCCGGTTTTGTCATGACACCCGAGATGGGATGAGTGTTCGGCCAAGAATACCTCCATCGCGAATCCGCTCCCTCGTGTCTCCTCAATCTCTGAACGACGAATCGACCCGGTTGAAGCTTTTCTAGTGCATCTCCTCCTCTTCTCCGGCGTGGAATCTGTGTTAGAAGCCCTTTGTCGATGCTCCGGTACTCTCCCTCAATTTAATTTCTAGGGGAATTTGATTTTCTTTCTCTTGGTTTGCTTCTGTCGCTTGTAGGAACTTCGTTTTTGTTCGTATTTGGTGGATTCAGAATCGCTAGGGCAGATTATTTGGTTGTTTGACTACTTCGTTTTGGTTCGATGTTTTGGCGGATTCAGATTCACTGTGTTTGTTCGAATGGTTTTGGGTATTCTTTCAGAAGGGTTTTGGTCTGAAAATGGCCACTAACCAGATGATTTTCCTTTTTTTTTTGTTAGGTGGGTTAGAGTTTGGTTTTGGGTCGGGCTGGGTTAATGGTTGGGTTGGTGTATCACATGGCGGGTGAAATTGACGTGGCGGGTCGGGTATGATGATTTTTGGGTCAAAACGATGCTGACTAGGCGCATCCGTTAGCCACGTCAGCACTTAACGGACTCCACTAACGGAGTTGGACGGAGACTAACGGAGAGTGACTCAATATGACCTATTTTAGTAATTGTAGTGACCAAATTTGATATTAACTTTTTTCAGTGACTAAACATGTCCCGATTTTGTAAACTCAGTGACCAAATGTGTCTTTAACCCTATAATTTTGGTCGAAGAAACCCGATCCATTCCTAGGGGGTCGTTTGGATTAGTGTTTTGTTTGAGGGATTTGGACACAATCTCTCACAATGAGGGATTTTAATTAAAGTCACTTGTTTGGGAAGCATTTTTTCTATGAGAGATTTTAAACATTCCGGATTCTAGAAACCCACATTTGTGGAATTGTGAAATAGCTGATGACCATCAGCTATTTTGAAATCCCTTAATATTTTGTCAATTTGTTCCATATATACCCATGTTATTTTTCTTCTGAAAATCCAACTGTACCTTCTTCTATTAACCCTTCGTTACTGTATGTCCTTCAATTCTGTCTCTGCCACAACGCTGGAACCCGTCGTTCTGTTTTAATCCCACCCGAACGAAGCTGCTCGAAGACGAACCAGCAGCTGCCGCTGAGTGCTGACCGGCGGCGAGTTAGCTTCAGAGAGTAGGGAATCTGCGGCGACGAACCCTTCTTCCAGCAGGTGAGTTCTTGAAGCCCTCCTCCGTTCTTACTCCTTAGCTTGTTTTGGTGGGATGCGATTTCGTCTCAATCAGAATCTTTTGGATTTTGGGTTTATAGCTTGCTTGTGGTTATTTGGCGAAGGAGAGCAGAGGGTACCAAATCGTTTCTCCTCTTGTTTGATCTTTGGGTGCCCGCACGTCTCTCTTATTTGGCTGCTTCGGAAAAGGGAGAAAGCCGGTGAAAATTATGCTCTTTCATGATCCATCTAGGATGATAGTATGAGTTTCCAGTGTTAATACCGCCGAACACAATTTGTTTATTATGAAATTAGTATGCTCTTGATAGTTTTAGGGCGAAGGAGAGCAGAGGTACCAAATCGCTTCTCCTCTTGTTCGATCTTTGGGTGCCCGCCTCCACCTAGTTCCGATTTGTTCGATCTTTGGGTGGCCCTGCAGAGGAACGACGAAATGACGATTTGTGCCTGGAAAGTGAGGGGAGGAATGGTAGAGAAGAAGAACTCTGGAAGAGGAAGAAGAGCTATGTTCATCCTTCTCTTCTCTTGAGTATGGATAAGGAGTTTTAAAGGGTAAAAATATAATTTTTCATTTTCATTTTAAAATCCCATATTAGTTGCCAAACGAGTGATTCGGCAAAAATCCTACACAAATCTCTTGAATTAAAAACCTGGGTTTTAAAACGAGTGATTTGATCACAAATCCCTCTCAAATCACTCGAATTAAAAACACTAATCCAAACGACCCCTAGATGTTTTGTTTGACCAAGAAAAAAAAATTAAGAATAGGGAATCATTTTCATTTTGGATTCCCTCTCAGTCTAATGTTTGTTGCCCTTTCAAGCTTACTTTATCAAGTCTCATCGTCGCTCGAGTCGAGCACCTATCTCCGCCGGCTAAGATGAAGATTATGGTGGCCGTGAAGCGAGTGATCGACTATGCCGTCAAAATAAGAGTGAAGCCCGACAAGGTAAAAAACCCTCTTGAACCACCGCCGTTTCAACAGTGAACAAAATCGGGATTCCTCATGTGATACCTTTTCTACGCATCGATGAATTTGTTGCTTTTAGAGCGGAGTAGAGACTCAAAACGTTAAGATGTCGATGAACCCATTCTGCGAGATAGCTCTGGAAGAGGCTCTTCGAATCAAGGAAGCAGGATTGGCATCTGAAGTGGTCGCCGTAACTATAGGCCCCAAGCAATCTATCGATACTCTTCGAACGGGTCTGGCCATGGGCGCCGATAGAGGGATTCATGTGGAGGCTACTGGCGATTTGTTTCCTCTTGCTGTGGCTAAGCTTTTCAAGGCTCTTGTTGAGATAGAGAAGCCCGGTTTGATTATTCTAGGAAAACAGGTTGATTCTCTTGAGTTTCTCTTTCTGGGTTTTTAACTTTTTATATAAAATTGGAGGAAGGTAAACTTCAGCTTGAACTTTTTATGTGCTTGGTTGATGTAGGCCATCGATAATGATTGTAATCAAACTGGGCAAATGGTGGCAGGGCTTCTAGGTTGGCCTCAGGGGACATTTGCTTCCAAGGTTAGTTGTGGACTTCACCGTCCAGTTGTTCTTCTCAAGCTAAAGCTAACTTGCTTGTTCGGCCAAACTTTCTTGTAGAAGTAAAATGAATGAATCACGTTCCTAACAAATGTTCTTCATGTTGCTTTGTCTTCTTGAACGATCGTTGTCGGTTCAGTTTGTTGTCTTGCTCTAAATGTTAGCTTAATGGGCTGTTATACTGGTTCTAGGTTGTATTGTGATTGAGTTTGAGTTAGACCCTGAATGTGAAATGTGGACAGTCATCTTGTAAAACTTGGAAGTATGAAGGATACTGTTAGCATGAAGGATTTATGAGATTCCTGTCAGTTGCAGTTAGCTCGTGATGTGAAATGTGTGTAATGATCTTATGACACTAGGTAGTGTGAAGGGTAGTGAACTGTTAGCAATCATTAAAGATTTACTTAGGTGCATATCCGCAATCATTGTGAATAGCTAGAGTAAGACATGCTCAGATGCAGTGGGTGTTTTCTTATGAGCTTCTGCATGATTGTAAATTATGTTCTTCTCTTTCGGCAATCTCTTTTGTTCTGCATATTTTCTAACTAGTAATTGCTACTATCTAGTAGGTGGTGCTTGACAAGGAGAAACAGGAAGTAATGGTAGATCGAGAAGTTGATGGTGGTCTGGAGACTGTGTGTTTAAACTTACCAGCAGTTATCACGTAAGCATATGATCCTCATTTTTCTTGTCTTTGTTTGCTTAACTTTCCACTGCTGCACTGTGATTCCGTGTTGGTTTATTTAGTTGCGTGTCACTCTGTTGTGTATGATCCAGAAAAGAGATGTCTTTCTTAGAATTTCTATTTGTGCTATTGCTAACGAAAATGCTTGCGTGGTCTGCCAGAGTCGATGGTTAGAGTTGTGATGTAGGGGGTAGCACTGGCAGCTGGGAAGAAAGGCATAATCTTTGTTATATATCAATTCAGCATGATTAAAATCAAGTTCTATATTCTTCCTTGTATGGTTTTGTGGCTGCATTGAAGGTTCAGTTACATCCCGCAGCATGTCCTTCCTCTTCTTATGTCATGTTTATGTGGCTCAACTTTACTTGGTCTTCTTCTGCAGCACCGATCTAAGACTGAACCAACCGAGGTATGCGACACTGCCAAACATTATGAAAGCAAAATCAAAGCCCGTCAAGAAATACACGCCGGAGGAGCTGAATGTTGGAACAAAGTCAGATCTAGAGGTTGTTGAAATCACAGAACCTCCCAAGAGGAAAGCAGGGGTGCTGGTTTCTTCTGTGGACGAGTTGATCGACAAGCTTAGAAATGAAGCTCATGTCATTTAATGTCGATGTTGATTTACCTTCTGAGTTAGCATAATCCAGTTGTCCTACAAGGCTAAAACAGAGGGTTTGTGTAACAAAAGGCTTGTTGCCGGTTGAATAATACTTCTGCAGATATGTTCATGTGATGGTGGATAGTGGAGAGATTGTGTAATTTTGGTCGGTTGTTGGATCTTTGTTTGGGGGTGTGGTCAAACTAGTCTGCGCAGGAAGAAGAATGCGAGAAAAAATGTCGTCATGTTTTGCTAGTGAATCGGAGGGTTGATGATTGGTAATGGACCAACCCTCGTTACCCATTTCCATACGACTTTACTCTTTAGGGTGGTGTCCTATGGTAAACAGTCTGGTTGTTGTGGCAAAACCTCGAGATGTCTGAAAGCTCTCGAGTTGTTCATCACCCTTAGGGCATATGCAGCTGAGATGAACGGTCAGTTGCTAGGCTCGGTCGTAGGTGTTTGTTGGGATTCGGGCTGCAAATGGGTTCAACTGCTCAAGAGTGGTTTGGTGTTTTAGTAGAAAAAAGCTTGCTCGAAATTCAGTTTATTTACTAACGAGTCGAGTTTGACTTAAACCTTATTCAGCTAGTGAGGCTCACGAGTTTGTTCGATTCGGTGGCTCTTTGAGTTTAACAGGTGAGCCGAGCTAGCTCGATTGTGTGGTAGTGAGCCAACCAACTAGTGTAGTATTACTATTACCGAATCGAACTATAGCTTATGAGTTGGTTTGTTGATAGTTCATAAATTTGTTAGTTTGTACATTGATAATATATAATGGTTAAAGAGTTTGGGTATATGACCAAATATGTATCAATTACAATTTTGAAAGGGAAATCATTTATTATAGATTGCTATGCTATTAACTACGATTAAATAACATGATATGAGCTAGTTAGAAATTATGAACTAAACATGATTCCAACACAGTATATAAGCTTGGAATCAATTATTCATGAAAAATTTACTATCATTCTTCTTTTATCATATTAATCACATTTATCATATATGATATACAAATATTAGAGTATAGAATTTATAAATTGTTTTAGAGTTTAAGTTAGTAGTTCAACCATATAGAATCATAAATAAACTGAGCTTGAGTAGATCGAGTTTGTGAGCTCATTACTGGGCCGAGGTAGAATCGAGTTTGAGCCAATGTTTTATCGAACGAGCTGAGCCTGAGCTCAACTCATTTTCTAATGAGTTGGGCCTGAGTTAAGCCAATACTCGACTTAGGTCGACTGGTTTGTAGCCCTGGTTGGGCTATACCCACTGGCGATGTAAACTAGTAGAATTGCACCCAACATTCCTAATTCTCAACTTCATCCTTTGCGGGTCGTCTAATGAATCATGGAGGCTCTGTTCAAAATTTGAATCGTGGTTCAATTTTTTTATGCATAATAAAATGAAGATGATCTTAACATTGTTATTTAAAAAGTAATATCTACCTAGCATTATTTGAAATAAAGTAGCCTATTAGGTTTTCAAATTTTGTATTTTTCAGGAGTTTTTTCAACCATTGTTGGTACTAATTCATTAAGTCTTTCTTGTGTCATTTAAGAACATATGTAGGACTTTAGAACACAACATAACTTTAACCATCAATATGCATGCCTCATAATAATTATCATACTTAAACTCATCATCATGCTCATAATCTATTAATCATATACCACAAGAATTAACTAACAGATCGAGAGTTCAGACCCCCTAATATTTGGAAGCTCTATATCGGAGGACCTCCCAACACATCCTAGTGACCCCGTCCTTTGATAATTGATGTCGGTCTTCTAGATGAACAGTGGGTCAATTATCCAAGGGAGACTAGTGGATATAACAGTACTACGATGTTCGTCAGAGTTTCTTCCGGCTTAGTATCGTCGTCCCATGTCATGAATGTTTCCTAATCTAGGAAAGAATACATGATCAAATAAAAAAAGGGAAGAACCAACCATTGTAGTTTGAAGCAAATTAGGAGAGAATTGAAAGATCTTTTTGATGATTAATGAGAGTTTTTTAAGGCATGAAACTTTCGAGGAAAAAGAGGAAACTTTACGTATTGACATTTAATTTGATATATTTTGGAACAAAACAATTGAGACATATATTATTATTTTATATTATTAGAGTAGTCTTTGATAGTACATAAGATATATCATGGTGGCATAAAAGTATATCATGGTGATTGTATACCAGAGACATAGTTTATAGTGATATTTTGTCTTGAATTTTTTTTTGAAATATATCGATTCAAATTTTGTACATCACTATGAACCTGTTCCTTCTACACAAAGTTTATTGAAATTTGATTTTGAAATGAGCGTGATACATAGTGATACCAGGTGGTGACGACTGACGAGTGGTAATGGACGACATGATTTTCCCCCCTCAAATTATGTGAAAATGGATATAATTTTATATATCACAATGAATTTGTTCAATATGTGCAAAAATATTTCAAAATTCAAATTAAAGCAAAGAAAATTTAATCCGATATAAAAATTAAAAGATAATTTTTTAATCTCTCCACTTACATATAACTTACTCAAAAATCAAAATGAATGAATTCGATCTAATTATACACAATCACATAACCAATAATTACCTAGAACCTCCCAGCCTATATTTCTATGACCCCTCTCCTTTCCCATTGCGAATATATATCACAATCGTTGCTTGTATAAAATATCATTATTTCGAATATGCGTGTATTCCAAACAAAAGCATCCACATTCAAAATCTCATATTGCAGAGGAGAGGACCATAAGATCTTGTTTCCTCGGAAAAACCAAATGCCACCGCCGGTGCCGAATTGGTTTCCGGCGATGTTGATTCGATGTTTCGCGATGGAAACTCTTGCGGTGCCGTTGATCGAATGCACCGCTGATAGCTGAAATCGAGACGACCGTCTCAACCGCTTCGCTCCTCAAACTGCTTCGCGTGAACTTTACGTGAGTTGTTTTCATGATCCCGCGATGTCGTTTCCTTTCCCAAACAGCTCCGCTTGATTCTACCCGCGACATCGTTTTAATATTAAACGATTCCGCTTCCAGCCTTGCGGTGTCGTTTTCTTTCCCAACCAGCTCCGTTTATTTTTTTTCTTCCGCGACACTGTTTATTATTAAACACTGTCGTTTGCTAGTATAGCGGTACCGTTGGGCTTCCTCGTGATACTGTTTTTAATTCCGCGGCACCGTTTTAGCTCTCCGCGGTGCCGCTTCTCCCCATCCAACAAGGAATAAAAATAACAATAATTAATTATAAACAAAACTCCTTTTCCAATACCCAACTAACCGCGCAGCCCCCTTTTGATTTTCGGTATCGTTTCCAGTACCGCGGTACCGCTGAGCTTCCTTGCGGTACCGTTTTAACTCTCCGCGGTACCGTTTTTTGTTTCCCGCGACACCGCTCAACTCCCAACGACACCGTTTTTACCTGCGGTATCGACTTAAATGCCGAGACTAATTAATACGGCATTTAATTCCGGCCGAATTAATTTTAGGTGTCAACAAATGCCCCCCACAATTTGGTTTATAAGAATTATGAACCAAATTGTTGTCACAACTTATACCACCTAAAATTAAATCAACTTTACCAAGAAAATCCACAAATCACGTTTTGTCAAAGGTGATTTTGGCAAAAGCCAGTGAAAGTGGCATGCAATTCTACTGCAAGGCTGCACCCACGGCAGCATTGTCTTGATCTTTTGTTTTTTTATAAGTTTTTTTTTTTCACCAGCGCTGCATCTTTTTTTTTTTTTTTTTTGTCAGGCCTGTTAAATTCCACTACAGCCGCAGTGCTGCTTTGGCCGGAACTGAAATTTTTTTTTTCTTTTTTTTTTAATTTTTTTTTATCAGCGCTGCTAGCACCAGCCCTGCAAAACAAAACAAAAACAAAAAAAATTATACTATTCTCCGCCAGAGCTGTCCAGCGGCAGAGTTGCAAAATTTGTTTTTTTTTTTATTATTCTCTTCTGCCAGAGCTGTTGCGGCAGAACTGAAAAGAAAAAAAAAATTATCTTAAACACCAAGCAAAGCAGGCAGCGGCATTAGTCATTATTATTATTTTTTTTTTAGCCAAACTAATTCCTCCCGAGAGTGCGGCAACGCCACCGTTTTGCCGTAACCACTAGCGTTTTGGTTTTTTTTTTTTTTTTTTTTTTGCCAGGCCTGTTTGCAACAGCGGCAGAGCTGCATTTTTTTACGGTTGTACAAATAATATATTTCCAGCTTTTTTTTTTTAAATAAAATAAAATTTGGCCAAACCAGTGTCGTTTACACTTACCTCAACGTTGCTTTTACTTGTCTATTAAAAGGCCAACTGTGATTTTTCCCCCCACAATGCTGCGGCAAGCTTAGCAATGCCGTTTATTTTTTTCATAAAATTTTCTAGACATTATGTGGCTTAAATAGCCATATTTATTTATTTTAATAATATCTAAACAAAAACAGGGTTGGCTTTAGCATAAACCATCATGCCAAAAGTCCACACCCACTGCCAACTCCACTGATCAAACCAAACAAGCCATCCATAAATACCCTGACTTGTTGGCTTCACACATGTTGGTTTTGATGTTTTGGGAGTAATGTTGGCTTGCACCTCTCCAGGTTGTTCAGCTCGAATGCCTTTGTTCGAAACTCCACGAGCCTGATTTGGTCTCATCTCAGCCTCGCGGAATGAAAAATCATACGCGTTCTTGGCTCTAGGCAAGACCTTCACATTTTTTGACACCTTTGTCTTACCAAGTCGACCATGTGGCATTGCTTGCCCAAACAGGTCTGGTTTTGTCAGCTTCGCACTCTCACCATGTTGCTTTGAGTATAAGCACCGATGCTTACGAGCTTCACCGACAAGTGTGTGGGTGTTTTGTTTACCACGACACTTACCACACATCCACATCGTTTCTTTTGAGCTCCCGTGTGATTTTGGAGTTTGTAGAGTATTATACTTGCCCCCCAATCCACCATTCATAGCAGACTTGTTCCTCCTCGACACTGGTGTGGCAACACCATGTCGGGCTTGCTTGAACTTGCCCCCCACTTCACTCGGTGGCGGCTTTGGGGACAACTTACACGAAGGATCTAGGTAAGTTACACCAACTTTCGTGGCCTTGGGGGTTTTCACGTGATCACCACCTCCATATTGAATAGTGTTTGTGGCAACCCACATATGCTTTTTCCTAGAACAGGGTGGATGTGGCAAACTGCTTCGCCACTTGTGATATTGTTTCTCCTTCAACCCACCTTGCTGTGGGATCTCATGCCCCCCTAGCGGTTTAGATCGAACATCATCGTGACGTTGG